TTTTCATACGTTCTTATTTATAGAATTTTTTACTTGCAAAGGTTCTTTGATAAAACGTATAAGAAAAATATAATGGCTAGAAATTTAGAAAATTCCACAAGTGAAAATTCTAATATTCAAGAAATGGGATTGCGGAGATCCGTGAGGCAAAATGCGACAATAAGGGGAGCGGCATCATCACCACGAGTTTCCACCATGGGAACCACCGTGGTGGCTACCTCGGTAGCCACCCGCGGCGAGGTCCATTGTGCCTTCACCACGCCCACCATGGGAACCACTGCGGTGGCTACTTCGGTAGCCACTCATGGCGAGGTCTATGGAGCCTTCACCACGGCCCGAGCCGTGCCATCTAAGGCTCACGGTACCAAGACCATGATCCAAGCTGTGCCATCCAAGTTTACGTGGACCCAAGCCCAAGCCTCGCATTCATATGCACTGCGCATTGAGCAGCCTGCTCCTGTGATGCAGCCTGCTCTTGTAGCCCAGCCTGCTCCAACGATCTAGCCTGCCCCAGTGATCCAGCCTGCCCCCGCAGCCTAGCCTGCTGTCATGGTTTCCCAAGCTGCCCAAGTCGGCTCGAGACAATCTCAACCATCCGGACCAATCATCGAGGCTGAGGCGTTTTCACCACATTTCTCCGCAGATTTGACATTCCCCAACTCAAATCTCGCACTTGGAGTCAACCACCCTTTTATTGTTCAAGGAGGTGCATTCCATCTAAGTTCTTCCAATCCGAATGGCGAGCAAAACTTGTCCCGACAAGTCATAGAATTGACGAGCGCCTTTGCACAACAAACTACCTTGGTGAATCAACTTTTACAACGCACTGAGATGCAACGCGCCCACGATGAAGTTTCCCGAAGTAGAACAAGGGTAGACAAGGAGCCTTTTAAGCAGCGACCTGGAAAGCAGCAGTTCAAACCATCACAAGTCGAGCATTCAAACAGTGCACACTCGATTGGGCCCCCGAAATAGCGTATACTCCCGTCTTAGCACGCGGATGAGCGTGCACTCTCGATTAGGTCCACGGGCAAGTATACATTCACGGTTGGGGCCACGCTTTGATAATCAACATGGGCAGCCTTCCAGGCAAAGTATTCATTCGCGATTAGGATTACAAGGAGTATCCTCCACATTACATCGGAGCGGGCAGCCTGACAAACGGAAGGAAACAATCGTTCAATCCGGCTCTAGTTCCACCGGTAGCCTGCAAAGAAATCCCTCGCATGCTAGGAATTTATCTTATACATTGCAGCCACGACATAGACGAGCCGAGTGAGAAGAAGAGCAGCCTAGACTGGTAGATAAAGACCAAGGGCAGTCGAAGGCTCCACTACCCCCAACAAAAGCAGATCCAAGAAGAGGTAGAAAGGCTTTTCAATGAACGGATGCGTGATTTTCGATGCAACGAAATGGTTGATGAAGCACTAAGGCGAGATATGACCAACATAAGCAGGTCATCTTTCACGGATGAGATCGAGCAGGCAGAACCTCCGCGCAAGTTTAACATGCCGCACTTCACATCTTTCAAAGGAGACGAGGATCCCGAAAGACACTTGAAGCATTACTGAAGTGCGATGGTCCTTTATCGGAATAATGACGCCTTTATGTGTAAAATATTCGCCACTACTTTACAAGGCGAGGCACAAGATTGGTTTCATACCTTGCCGGCATGATCCATCAAGAATTTTGATGATCTTTCCTTGGTTTTCACCAAAGAATACTCATCTTATCGTTCGATCAAGAAAAAGTCCGAACACCTGTTCAACGTAAAGAAAAACCCAAAAGAGTCACTTCGCGATTACGTGAAGAGATTCAAAGTAGAGAAGGCGAAGATCGTCAGATGCGATAACTCGATAGCAAGTGCAGCCTTCCAAAAAGGACTACCAGCAGACCACCCACTGTTTGGAGAAATGATCATGAAAGAAGACCTAACTCTAGCAGATTCCTTTGCTCTGGCAGATAAGCATGCACTTTGGGACGAGGCTCGACAAGCAGAAAAGGCTCCCGAACAGCCTTGAAAAGAGTTGGCAGCTGCTCAAAAGAAGGATGAAAAGCAACCTAACAAGGGCAGGCAGGAGGTCAAGCGCAGGGACCGACCCACGACTAAAGAAGGCCCGATGACCAATAACTATTCTAAGTTCTCAATTCCGATTCATCAAATCCTTCGTGACATCAAGAATGAACCATGGTTCAAGTTGTCGAAACAGTCAAAAGGAGATACTTCCAAGTTGGACCACACCAAGTATTGTGCATTCCACCGAGGTCCTGATCACACAACCAACGACTGCTACACTTGGAAGAACTACTTAGAGAAACTCGTGAAAGAAGGCAAAGTCGATAGATATTTGGACAAGCCAGCTGAGCAGCCAAAAAGGAATACAGACGGAGATGAGGAGCCACCAACTAAGATGATTCAAATCAATGGCGTTTTCGCTGAATCCGAGCACTTGGGGGCCACTAATAACTCCAAAAAGAGGAAGATCCAGCAGGCTTTACTAATCTCACAAGTTCAAGCAGTCGATACCCAACCTGGACCTATCATTGGCTTCACGGAGCAGGATGCGGAAGGAGTCGACTTCCCACACATGCATTAGTAGTATCTGTCCAACTAGCCCATGATATAGTCGACAGGATGATGGTTGACAATGGAAGTGCAGTCAACCTACTTCAATTTTTGGTCATTCAGAAGATGGGCCTGGAAAGTATAATCATACGCCGGGCAGAGGTACTTATTGGATTCAACGGACACACCTCAACTGCCATCGACCATATCACACTTGACGTGAAAACACCGCCAGTCGTCTCAAAGCAAACATTGACGATTGTAAGTGACCCATCTCCCTACAATAGGATTCTTGGGAGACCTTGGTTGATCAAGCTGGATGCCGTCACTTCCGTCAAGTATCAAAAAATCCGATTCCGTATCCCGGGAGGAGGAGTCGGAGAGATCAAGTCTGACCAGGTTTCATCCCGACGATGCATTGTGCAAATGTTGAAAGAATAAAAAAAGAAGACATTTACCCCCGTAGAGGTTACCGAAGTCCAAAAGGGCAAAGAAATTACCAAATAGCAATTACAGCAGGTGGATCGAGAAGATGGCGCCCAAGCAGACAAGATAGGATGGAAACCTGAAGGGGACATCGAAGACATCATTCTTGATCCCCAACAGCCGGAAAAGAAGGCTAAAATTGGCTCACGACTAAGCCCAGACGAGAAGGAAGAACTCACAATTTTCCTTAGGAAAAACCGAGATATCTTCGCATGGTCACCATCCGACATGCCCGGTATTGATCCTAAAGTGGCCTGCCACAAGCTGCACGTCGATCCAACTGCCAAATCGGTAATTCAAAAAAGAAGACATTTTGCACCCGAACGAGTAGCGATCATCGAGGCAGAAATCGACAAACTATTGAAGGCCGGTTTCATAGAAGAGGTAGCACACTCGGCATGGCTTGCTAATGTGGTACTAGTCATGAAGAAAGAGAAGGGCAAATGGAGGGTTTGCGTAGACTACACTGACCTCAACAAAGCATGCCCAAAAGACCATTATCCTGTCCCCCGGATTGATCTATTAGTAGATTCAACTTCTGGAAACCAGTTGCTCAGTTTCTTAGACGTATACTCTGGCTACAACCAAATAGCCATGCATGAGCCCGACAAAGAGAAAACTGCGTTCGTGATAGAGTGAGGCACTTATTGCTACAAGGTCATGCCCTTTGGCCTCAAGAACGCGGAAGCCACTTACCAAAGGCTAGTAAATATGATGTTCAAAAAGCAAATTGGGGTAACCATGGAGGTCTATGTCGACGATATCATGGTAAAGGGTAAGCAGCGATCAGATCACATTCGTAATTTAGCAGAAACTTTCAATATCCTTAGAAGGTACAAGATGAAGCTTAACCCCACCAAGTGCACGTTTGAAGTATCTTCAGGCCGATTCCTAAGGTACTTAGTAACCCAATGAGGAATTGAAGCACATCCCAAGCAAATCCAAGCAATCATAGAGATGAAATCTCCAACTACCTTGAAGGAGATCCAAAGCTTGACCGGACGAGCAGCCGCCCTCAATCGCTTTTGTAAGATCTCATTTTAATGTGTATACATATGTACATATACGTATGTATATATAATTAGTTTGTTTTGACTGACCCACCTGGCCACTTAGAAGCCAACACAAATATTTTGAATGAGATTGCCATCTCTTCTGGCGGTCTATGACTTAAGACCACGTGTACTCACCTGAATTAGTTGCTATCTTCTTTCTCCTCAGTGCCTACAGCTAGCTTAACAGCTGTGGTCAGCCGCCAACTTCAACCAATAAGGGGCTTTGTGGTTTCCGTTTAGTAACCTATAAATAGGAGATCAACTCCATTGTTTTCGAACTCAAGCTAGCATGCACTGCATGCTCTGGAGCTCATATAATGTTTATATGTGTGTGTGTGTGTGTATATACACATACATATGCTGTGCGTGTATATATTTATATATATATAGAGAGAGAGAGAGAGAGAGAGAGAGAGAGAGAGAAAGAAAGAGAAGGGAGTAAGAAACCAGAAGCTGAGGTGCTTCTTAATCGGCGGTGTCAAATCTGTAGCAGGATAAATATGCGTAATGATTCTCATATTTTCTTTAGTCTTTCCATAGCTCTATATATTGTAGAACTCAGTCGTGTTTCATCTATGTTGGTTGTATTATATATGTATGTATATCTGCATAGACGTTTGGCTATCAGACTTTACAATTGGAGATCATCTTACCTACACAAAAGTGATAGGACTGAACCTATACATATTTATCACATGCTAAATATGATCTCTTACCTTTATTAGAGGTTGTTATATAAAAGAGGGCTTAAGCATATTAATTCGAACATATATCTTTCTTATTGGTTTGAGAGAAACTATATATGTATATGCTGGTATTCATGCATATAACTTTGCACAAGTCTGAGTAAACCAAGCTAGCTTTCTCAGCATGGAACTATCTGCATATATTCATAGGTATAGTTTCAACTGCATCAAGTAAAGCATGTGTTTGGAGTTGATCAACATATAATAACTTGTGAATTAGTATTGCGGAATCGATAAACTTAAATACATTAATTAGGATTAGAGTTCATGTCATGCATTTGGTAATTTTCTTATATATGTGGTTTAATATACTTATTCATTAATCATATGAAAGACTTTATTTAATTATTGGCTAAAGTTATGTTCCCAGCTTATACACCAAAAAGACAGCATGCATATTTATATTTGTATTTCACATGTCCCTTGTTCTGCAAGTTGTACTCATTCAAACGTTCTGTTATGACCATGTTATTATTTTAGATCAACCAAAAGGGCATTTGAAATAGGTGTTGTTAAGTTAGTAATCTCAAGTGCTTTGACTGGGATTAAAGTTCTTGTCTTGCATATAGTGATTTTCTTATACTTGTGAATAGGAGCTTATCACAGTTGTGGTTTCTTGTGTTAATATCTCGGAGCAATGCTTTGGAATCCAGGTAGGGGAAATACGGCAGACCTTTATAGATATTGATTCTATTAAATTTCGTGAAGTACTATATTTGTGTTGGTTGATTAATGTGGTTGGACATTGTTTGGATTATTGCTTCAGTTGGTTGTTTACTTGTTAGTACTACTGGAATGTTATTCGTTGAGATATATATTGTGACATGGAGATATATTGTGACATGTGAAAGATGTAATAACGTTGCTTGTGCATCACTCATGTGTCAGAAGTGGTTGGAACTTTGTAGGTGAGAAAGGAATTTGGAAAGAGGGTAATGGAAATGATCTTTTGTGTAGTTGAGTCAAACTCTTAGCAGGTACCAGGTCTCAAGTGAGCCCACAGTGCACAGATTCTTTAAGGGTAATTCGGGACTGGCGACGAAGAGTTTTGGCAAGATGACTAACAAAAGGGGAAATTGGGATGATTGAGTTACGGGGAGTTAATTTGTATAATAGAACATTCGAACCACCTCTGCAGGGGTAAAATGCATGGTATGGGACATGCAGGTCCGCGTGTTTTATTATATAAAGTAACGGGGGTAGCGGAAGAGGTTCAATTGCATTCATGCATTATTATCAATAATGATTTGATATTTGGCTATATGATTTCATGACACTTAATTTAATATTGTCAATTTACTGTAATAAGGTTATGTCCCTACTGAGCTGTTAAAGCTCACCCCTCTATTGATATGCAGGTTTACGAACTAAACAATCTAAGAGGGTAGACGGGATGAGATCAGATTAAGTGTGAGGATGGAATTTTGTATTTCTTTATTTTAGCCTTGTAAAGAATTATTGAATTATTTTAAATAAGAAGAATTTTATTTTCCAACCCGTTTCAGTTTTACTTTAATTATTTAGTTTTTAGTTCGCGTTTCGGATTCGGGTTCAAGTTTTTACTACCGACCCCGGGTCCGGGGCGTGACAGCTTTCTCTCACGATCCACCGATCGATGCAAACCCTTTTTCAAAGCTATCAAAAGGGCACAAAGAGACAAATGGAATGAAGAATACGAAAAAGCTTTCCAAGACTTGAAGAATTATCTCACATCACCTCCCTTACTATCCAAGCCAGAAGCAGCGGAGGATTTATACATTTATTTGGCAGTATCCGAGGTAGCAGTGAGCTCTGCGCTCATACGAGAAGAGCTGGGGGCCCAACTGCAGGTATTCTACACTTCTAAAACTCTTCTCGATGCGGAAACAAGATATCCGAAGATCGAAAAATTAATTTTGGCGTTAGTTGTTGCGGCTCGGAAGCTCAGACGGTACTTTCAAACTCATACAATCATTGTTATGACTCATTATCCCTTACGATCAATATTACATGGTCCAGACGCTTCTCAACGAGTGATGAAATGGGCATTGGAACTTGGCCAATATGGTTTAGTTTTCTGACCTCGCACAGCGATAAAGGCCCAAGCCTTGGCAGACTTCGTAGCGGAATTCACACCTAACCTAGGTAACGTAACAGTGCGGCCCAACGATGCCCCAGAAGCAGCCGAGAGTACCTTAGCCACACTTACTCCATCCAATAAGGATTTCTGGAACTTGCATGTCGACGGAGCATCCAACTATAAAGGCTCGGGAGCAGGTGTAGTTCTTGTTACTCCAGATGGCTCAATGCTCGAGCAGGCGATCACTCTAGGTTTCAAAGCATCCAATAACGAAGCAGAGTACGAGGCTCTACTAGCAGGCCTCCAAATGGCAAAAGACTTGGCGGTGAAGAAACTCGCAATTCATTCTGATTCCCAACTAATCACCAGCTAGGCTACTGGGGAATACACGGCAAAACACCCAAGGATGGCACAATACTTAGAGAAAGTACGCCAGCAGCTTGAAGCATTTCAGACTTACACTCTCACTCAAGTTCCGCGGGCAGACAATGTACATGCAGATGCACTAGCTGGTTTAGGCTCCGCCCTTGACCACCAATTCAAACGCTCCATTCCAGTGGAATATCTAGACAAGCCAAGCATAGAGATGAAGCCGATAGCCGAAGTGTCATAGGTTAGTGTAACTCCCACTTGGTAAAGTTCAATTATAGACTACTTGGTCAACAGCACATTACCCACAGAAAGATTGGAGTTAAGGAAGCTCCAAATTAAGTCGGCACGCTACTATATGTGGAATGACATTCTTGTCCGAAGATCCTACACCGGACCACATCTCCGCTGCCTAGCACCTCCCAATGACTTGAAGGTTCTAAGCTCAATCCACGAAGACGTTTATGGGAATCACTCTAGAGGCCGATCATTAGCCCAAAAGGCTCTTAACGCAGGCTATTACTGGCCTACCATGCACCAAGATGCTAAGGAGTTAGTACAAAAGTGCGACCGCTGCCAACGCTACAAACCAGTACCAGCACTACCCGCCAGTGAGCTACACCCGCAAACGAGTCCCTGGCCATTCATGCAATGGGCAATCGACCTGGTAGGGCCTATGCCACCTGCTACGGGGGGCAGATGTATGATGATCGTGGCAACCGACTATTTCACCAAATGGGTAGAAGCAGAACCCATGACGACCACGACTCAGACGGACATAAAGCGCTTTATATGGAGGAACATCATTTGCCGATTTGGCATCCCTCAGTCCATTGTCACTGACAACGGCCCTTAATTTGTGGGAAAAGATTTGGCAAAGTTCTTCCAAAAATACGGCATCAAACAACACATGTCCACACCAAGATATCCTCAAGGTAATGGGCAGGCCGAAGCATCCAACAAGACGATCCTCGACTGCCTCAAGAAATCCCTCACCGACAAAAAGGAAAAATGGCCAGATGAGCTCCCGGGATGTTTATGGGCATATCACACCACCAAAAGACGAGCAACCGGTGAAACTCCTTTCTCTTTGGCGTTTGGTTCGGAAGCAATCATTCATCCCAACATCATCGTGCCAAGAATCAACACTCTATTACCAAGCATTGAGCAGAACAGTAAAGAGATGGCCACAGATTTAGATCTGGCAGAAGAGAGGCGCGAACAAACCATCACCCGCATCGCAGCCTACCAGCAGCAGCTCATTTCCAGCTACAATAAAAGGGCCAAGATCCGGCAGTTCCAACCCGAAGACTTAGTCCTAAGAAAGGCCTTCATCACTGCCCGTAGAGAAGGCTCGAAAAAAATGAACCCTATCTGGGAAGGTCCTTACAAGATCAGCAAAGTAGGCGGCAAGGGTAGTTATACTCTTGCTACCATGAATGATAAAGAGATCGAGAAGCAATAGAACGCCTACAATTTGAGGAAATACCATGTGTGACTTCACACTATATCAAGACCCGAAGACTCGAGCAGCTCAACGGGCACCACCTCGTAAACCGAGGACTATCCAATCATCATGCAGTTTTTGCAACCAAGTTATTTGCTCATTTTATTCATTTTTCAATAAAGAATTCAAAAGTAATTTGTAACTTGGCTTTATTATATGTCTACAACAACTTATCTTTTTCTGCACTTCAAAAGAAGATTGCAGCCCCCGAGGGACCAACTTTGCTCTCCAAGACGGGAGGATAAACTCAACACTCCGAATATCCAGACGTGGATGAGCTTGGCTGCCCTAGTATAACTAGGTGCATGATGGCTTGCGCCGGGATTCCTAGAAGTAGCCACAATGGTCTGTTTCAAGGCTTAGCTAGTTGAAGGATTATGGGTCTATCGGCTTAATCCGCAGGGAACCGAGCCCTAAAGACGGAGGGGGCACATTATGCAGCACACCCAATGGGCGGCTGCCCTGGAAACCTAAAGCTGCTACCGAGTGCATTAAGGTAGCCTACGGATTTCCAGAAGACTGCCTACGGCTTGCCCTTCGAGCAGTAGAACCACGTTAGACTTATGCAACCGCACATTCTTATGAAAGGTTAAACAAGTTAGCGTGCACACGCAAAGATTTTATCCACTGCCGACATGCTACGTAGTCGATAAGCTTCAGTTCTGCCAAACGCAGAACAACCTACACCAAGTCCTAAAGTGTTGTGATACTTGCTGCACAACCTACGGAATTGGAAAAAGCCAAGGTTGAATAGCCAAGTGGTTACGCGGATTCGTCTGCTTCTGTAAGTAAGGCATCCGGCTGCCAACCTTATGGTTAACAGCTTTGCAAAAGTTCTATATCAACACCTACGGCTGCGTAGGCTATGTGGGTTTGTCTGCTTATAGAAAAGTAGCACGCCTGCCACTGGTCTATAAGGTCTAAAGGTTAGGGCATGGAAAAAAAAAAGCAAGGATGGGAAAAGCAAAAGAAGCAAGTTTATTAAATTTTATAGCAAAATTGATAAACAACAAGCAAATACCGAACGAGTTCAAGCAAAAGCAACAAAGGAAAGAAAAGGAAATCCTAAAAGCTACCTAGAAGACTACTCTTCAGTAGCTTGGACATCTCCCAACTGCTCAGTCATTACACCTTTAGCAGCCTTGGTGTTTTCAGCAACGACATCCTCCGAATATTTACCCTCGACTGCTCCAGCCTGAGTGTCAACTCCTCCAACTATTTCACAGATAGAAGACTCAAAGGTGAAGTCGAGCAAGTCTTCTAGAGAAATAGAGAAGGTCTCGAAGTCTTTACCGAAAAACTCAAAGTCAGACGGCCGCCCATAGAGATGATCTTCATAGCCCAACTTGTAAAAATCAGCTTGGTTCTGAATAAGCGAAGCCTCGAAACCATCCCTTCTCACTCTTCAACTGCTCATTCTCCTAAAGCAGGCAAGCACGAACCCGCTGCAACTCCTCAATTTCCTTCTTCAGATTGTCGTTGCTCTTCAAAACACCTTGAAGTTTCGACACTTGAGGCTCAAGCCTGTCAACAACCTTTTTGAAGTGGATCGCTTGGTTGTAAGTAGCAATCAATTCTTCATCCTTTGCATAAGCAGCGGAGCGAAATTCAGATATGGAACGCTCAATATCTTGAATCTGAGGTATGTAACGCTCGATTTCCTTCTCTGCACTTTCATTCTTTATTTGGATCGCATCAAGTCGAGTCTTCAAATCCATGATCTCCTGGCAAGCGGCCTTAAGTTGCAGAGAAGTGGGGGCAGAAGTATTAGATTCCTTCAAAGCAGCAAGCTCAGATTCCAATTTCTTAATTTTTTCGGCCGAGGAGTAAGCTTCGGCAGCCATAGTTCTTGCCATATCTTTAGCAGCCTTGGTGTTCTCTTGGTCAAGGAACATAGACTCGGCTGCCAGAATTGTTGTTTTCTGCATCATGGCTAGCAGAGCAGTCTTCCTATGCTCGGGTGTGTGCTTTGCAAAAAGACTTGGACCAACAATCTCTTTGACGCCATCAACAAACTTGGCACATACATCCATGTCTTCAAGAAGATCTGGTTTCAAAAGCGTACAAATCTTAGCAGCTTCCCCAGAAACGGCCTTAGCGGATTCTTCAAGCCTGCCTGAATGAGCAGCTTCATTCTTATCAGCAGACGAGTTGGTTGCAGCGAAAGAAGCAGTTTTTGGCGCCACTTTAGCAGACAGGAGCACCTTATCACTCTTCATAGTAGCAAGCCTCTTCAAGGGTAAGCCAAGCTTAGTCTCAGATGGACGCTTCGGCACAAACTTCGGTACCAAGGGCACGAAGGAATTTTTACGCTGAGCAATTTTTTCAGCAATCGAGCTAGCAGCCTTCGAAGCAATAGGCGTTACCGGCACAAATGTAGCAGTTCGTTCTTTCTCGCCCTTAGAGGAAGTCAGGTCAATCACAATCTTGGGAACAACCGGAGAATCCCCATGAGCAGTCTTTGTTTTCTTCTCAGCAGGCATCTCTTGAGCAGACGGAGAATGTTTCTTTTTCCCACCTTCATTGATAGTAGGCTCCATCACAGTGATAGGACGAGCCA